AAAAAAAAAAAAAAAATTAGCTGACTGTGGTGGCACCCTCCTGTAATCCCAGCTACTTGGGAGGCTGAGGCAGGAGAATCACTTGAACCCGGTAGGCAGAAGTTGCAATGAACTGAGATTGTGCCACTACACTCCAGACTGCGCAGTGGCATGAGACTCTGTCTCAAAAAAAAAAAAAAAAAAAGAAAGAAAGAAAGAAAGAAAGAAATCTGTAGAAACAGACAGAGATACAGAATCAGAGAAGAGACAGACACAGAAAGCTAGAGAGACAGGGACACAGAGATGTAAAGACAGACGGAGAAAAAGAGAGAGACAGAGAGAAGTATAGAGTCAGAAAGAGAGAGTGTGTGTGACACATTTATTTTAAGAAATTAGCTCACACAATCATGGGAGTTGGCAAGTCTGAAGTCCACAGGACAAGCCAGTTAGGCTGGAGGCTCGGGGCTCGGGTAAGAGGTGACACTGCAGTCTTAAAGCCTAAAGGCTGGAAATTCAGGCAGAATTTCTAAGTTGCAACCTTGAGGCAGAATTTCTTCTTCAGGAAACTGCGGTGTTTAGTCCTTAGACCTGCAACTGATCAGGTGTAACCCACTCACAATACCTAGGCTTATCTCCTGTCCTGAAAGTCAACTGTGGTTGTTGATGTGGTCTGAAAAATACCTTTCTAGCCAGGTGTTACGGCTCACACCTGTAATCCCAGCGCTTAGGGAGGCAGAGGTAGGAGGATTGCTTGAGCCCGGTAGTATAAGACCTGCCTGGGCAATATGGTGAGACTCTGTTCTCAACAAAAAGGAAAAAAAAAAAAAAAGACCAAAAAAATAAAGAAATACAAAATACCTTTCTAGCAACATTTAGACTAGTGTTTACCAAACAACTGGTCACATAGCCTGGCTATGTTATCACATACGTTAGCCCTCAGGCCACTCAATCTAAGAGATCTTAACTGCTGGACACATCGCGTGGGTGAACTTTCCTTTTTGGACATCCTCACCATCCAAAATCCATTCCACACTGTCTTCTTTTTTGGGGAGCAGGTGCGGGGGATGGAGTCTCACTTTGTTGTCCAGGCTGGAGTGCAGTGGTGCCATCTCAGCTCCCTGCAACCTCCACCTCCCGGGTTCACGTGATTCTCCTGCCTCAGCCTCCCGAGTAGTTGGGATTACAGGTGCCTGTATTTTTAGTGCAGACAAGGTTTCACCATGTTGGCCAGGTCGGTCTC